AAAAATTAAACACGACTCAGGAAATACAGATACCTTAAGTGACTTCACAAAAAATAATGCAGATTTTAGCTCATTCAAATTAATAATAGATCCTGATTGTTTGTTCAGGATTGTTATGTCATTGAAAAACAAGAATAGCCCTGATGACTTGAATGTAACATTGATAAGGAATATACAAGGAAAGTTTCCGGTTCCTCTAAAGCTCACTACAATAATACCGTTCAAAAAAAGCCTGAGGCAAATAGAGGCATCTAATTTTCGTCCCATTAATACACTTACTGTCATTGAGAAAATAATGGAAAAAATTGTATATAGCTTCTTGAATTTTTGAGCACATATAAGATTATAACAGAGAAATAGTCAGGTTTCAGAAATGGTCACAGCTATGAATTTGCAATACAGTACCTACATTCTGGATGAATTTAAAATTAAATATGACTTCGGTTACAGTGTACTGGCGGTTTTTCTGGACTTAGAGCGTTTTACACAACTTCGCTGATGATATGCATCAAAGAATCTTTTGAAGATCAATATTAGTAAAATTAAATTTATGTTTATTAGTACACATAGTAACTGCATGAGAGCAACTATTCAATTAAAATGGGTAACAATAAGTTGGAAGAAGTTCAAAAAATTAAGTATCTTAGGGTTATTCTTGATAACAAATCGAAATTCAAGGATTACTGCAATATTCTAGATTCTAAAATTAGTTTTAAGACAAATTATATTCGGCATCTCTTTCAACTTGGTCTAGAATTGTTGTTTTTAACACTATAGTTTTGCTACACTTCAATTATTGCGCAACAATACTTTATTTACTCAACCAAAATGAAATCCAGAGACTGCAAAAGTTGCCAAATAGATATATGAGAATCATACTCTCATGTAGCAAGTATAGGTACCTACTTCTGTAAAGAGCATGCTTAGACTGCTTCCAGTTGTTGAATATGCTAAATATAATGTATAATGTATTTTTTTAGAATTAAAATTAGACTTGCTCCATTATATCTGACAAGAAAGATGGTGTATAATAGCCAGGTGCATGATCATAACACTAGACAACAGAACAAATTCTATATACAACATAGATGTGGTTTAATCAGTTACCGAAATAAATGAAGTGATGTAATACTCTTTAAGAGAAAATTAAAAGTTCATCTGCTGACTCAATGTGATATATATGCCCAGAGTAAGGCACAAAGAAGTAACATTGTTTTTATTGATTTGAATCGTGGTCTTTTGATTTTGTATTTTGTGAAGGGAAAAAGGAATATACAATGTGTCCAAGATAAGGAGGGCCAGCATGGGTATCTGATGATATGGGCGCCCATCAAAGACGAAACGTCGGACTAAAAATTTGATAATGCCATATTGTAGAGGAGGAAAAGTGGCAATAAAGTCAGGAAAAAATAAAATCCTTCTGGTCGAATTTCGGGTTTTCCCGGATATCTCCGGTATCACTGGGAATTTTTAAAATGTCAGAGCGGTATTTTAACGAGCACAAAATTGCCCAACTTTTCCCTGTTGAGCAACGTCGTATCTTTCACTGTTTCCGAGATCCTCATACTGGCCCTCCTTATTGTATAGGTAACCATACCTTTAGGAGTTTCATAGACTTAACGTTTTACATATTTTTAAAATTTTATTATTACCTTCAGAATGATTGTTGTTTATATGTTGAATTTTTGAATTGTTTGTTGTTTTCAGTGGCGTAATTACAAGGGGCCTTAGGGGGGCCGGGACCCCCCTAGACGTCGCTAGGCCCCCCCAGAAAAAAAACTTTAACAATTTGGTAGGTATTTTATGGAAGCTACACGCTACCTATTATAATTTCATGTTATTACCTACTAAATAAGCAATAGAAATATACAGGGTGAGTCCGAAATAAGTGCGCATTTTATGATAGATAGAATATAGTAGGAGAATCATTTTTTGTATAGGTACATGTATCTGCAAACGTGTCTGTAAATACTTTCGGAAAATTTTGACTTTTTACCTTTAGATTCAAAATGCCTTGAGCGTTTCTATTTAAATTTTCAGATAGTAATTGCGATGTTTTTTTTAAAGCATGTTTCTAAAAAATCCGTTTGAGCTCCACTTTTCCAGGACCGGACCTACATGTTTTTCATTTCATATAATATTCACAGTTTTTATTAAAAAATTCCAATAAGTCACAATAACAGGACCCAGGCCCACCCTAGGCTCCCTCCATGTCAGATGGCTATAGTATGTAACGCCAGTGTGTTTTTGAATTGTTATTATTTTAATTGACACTACAGACTTATTATACCTTTTGTGATTTCATTATATAGGTTGCACGATTAGCTATTGCTAAATAAACGAAAAAAAACAAAAAAACCAACACACATGCTTATAACTAGAAGTAGCTTACCAAAATTCCGATTTGAAGGGCAGTTAGGATCATAGTTTACGTATAAAAATAATTATTTTTATTTTCAAGACCTCATTCGTCCACGATAGTCTACTGCCGAATGACGAATATAAAAATAAATACGGAAAGAAAGGTACAATAGCTTGTTTACATTACCTTAATCCCTTTTTTTTTACTTCAGTCTGTAAACTTTGCTTCAGTGATGATTCATCAATTAGCGAATAATATTGAAATAAACAAATCCTTCCATCTTTACTTATAGTCCAGGAGGCAGTGAAATTTTTTAGCCGAAAATCGTCACTGCCTCCTAGACTATTACCGAAATGCACAAAATACCAATTTTAGATTGAAAATGTGATGAAAAACCTTTTGACAATGATCATTATTCGAGTGGCAAAAATTGCCAAAATTACTTAGTGCAAAACAATTATCATTTTTTTATGTAGGTACCCACTGTATACTTATTAGGTATCAGATAATACGTACTTACTGGTATTACTATGTAGATATATAACTTTTCAATAGATTCAGACTGACCAAATGTACGTCCAATTTAACGACGTCCAATGAACGCTTCATAGACGTCTTAATACAGGGGATTTTTTCTGGAAGGGTCATATTGGGTTTTACATGGTAACTTTTGAACCTGTTGGTTCATGTCATATGGTCCAAAAAAACGTCCACTACCTACGTGACAAAGAAAAATCCAAGAGGAAATCTAATTTTTGGCTCTAAAATTTTTTTGAAATCTTGACATGCTTATGAATAATTGCTTATATCTACGATTACTTTTGAGTAAATTGATGATAACTATATATCATTGAAAAGAGCATTAAATTTTCTATAGGGTCGTGCAAAATTGGTTTTTGTAGCTTGTGAAGTTTCTAAGATATTGAGCCTCAAAGTGGAAATTTAGTTAAAATTTTGTCCAAAACCTTAAAGTAGATTTTCTCAAAAACTATAAATGTCAGCGATTTCAGCTAAATACCATCTGAAAGCCCTTTTAAGAAGCTACAATTTCTGAAAATTTTGTTTCAGTACTGCTTTTGGTTACCAAGATATTCAATATTGAAGATTTCCAAATAAAAATTCAAAGGGGTACTCTTAGAAAAAAGTGCAAAAAAATTATAATTTCTATTTTTGGATTTTTCTCAATTCTGACTTCAGAAATCGATAGAGCGAGTCCAAATTAGTCAGAAACAACTCTAACATCAATGGTCACGTTCACCAGCACTCAACATGTTGAGTGATTAGTTAACGGCTTTGTTGAAAAGGAATGAAAATCAGCTCTAGACCAATCAAAACTGTTTTACCTTGTGTATTCCACTTATTGGAACAAAGCCGTTTACTAATCACTCAACATGTTGAGTACTGGTGAACGCGACCAATTACATTTGGAAATTTCAATCTAAGAGGAAATCTCCTTTTTGGCTCTAAATTTTTTTTTGAAATCATGACATGATGCTCATGAATAATTGCTTATATCTACAATTACTTTTGAGCGAATTGATAATAACTATATATCATTGAAAAGAGCATTAAATTCTCTATAAGCTCGTGTAGCTTGAAACTTCAAACTCGATTTTCTCAAAAACCGTAAGCGCTAGCGATTCCAGCTAATTACCATTTTGAAGCCCTAGAGAAAGCTCAAAAGCATTGAGAAAAACCCATTAATTCTTTTGTTTAAAACATAACACAAATAGTAAAATTCTAAGAAAATGTTTGAAATGCACACGTCTACACAATGAGGTTCTGATGTGAACATCCTCTCGATAGGATACTCAAGTAATTGTTCCATAATCATACTTAGACTTTAAAATAACATTATCATTGTCATATGCAAAGGAAAAAGTTACTGTACTATCACTATAGAGGAAAGATTCATAGTTTAAAGGAGCTAAACATGTAGGTATATGACAGAATATACTCCTATACCAGCTACTATATCTCGAAATCAATCAAACAAAAACTATTCCAGCATCGGAAGACCAAGTAGACACTTTATGGAAGAAGAGAGTTTAATTTTCACCTAGTTCTTCTCCTAGTTTAGTCCAAACCTTATCCTTTTTGCGCACATTTTTATAGTCATCATGAGAAAGGTCATACAGTATGAGGTACTTCCGAACTAATTCAATAATTTGCTCCATTTTGATTATTTTCACTTTATAACATTGCGGAATTACTGCTAATCGGACCAAAAATGCATTCGATTGCGAGCTCAGTTGGATCTTGGGACCTTTGTGGAAGGATATATAGGAACATAGTCAACATTTAATTTAAGACTGTTGACCTGACACCCCTCCCATAGCCTATTTATGTCGGCTTGTAAAATCTGAAGATCTGTTTCAGTTTTTATGAGCCTATAAACTTCAAGATTAAACAATAATTTCTCCCCCTGAGAAGTACATGCAGATTTGAAGTAATTGTGATGATGGATTCTAAAAATGCATGGACAACTTTCATATTTACTCTGCAGCTAAGGTACCAATATATGGCCAAACACCCTGTACAATTTTGCCCAAATTTAACCAACCTTGAATCTTTTACCATTTCCTAACCATTCTCCATAAAAAAAACATAAGTTTCAATTCAATACTATTTTTTCCAGACTATACCATTATATTCAAAACTTGAAGACGATTTGAAGAGTAGATATCTAAAGTATACCCCCGAACACTTAGCATGCAATGCTCATTTTTGGGGCCCAATCACTCCACAAAGCACTGGATTTTTGGCATTACAAAGTGTGGATTCTAATCCAGAGGTAAAATTTTCCAGTCCTAAACTTACTCCAAGCTGCTAAATAACTATTTTCAGATTCTGAAGAAGCAAGGTTTTAGAATAGCGGCAACAGGTTCAGTGCAGGAACTAGACAAAACCACCCAGATAATGAAAAAACTGAAACTCATCGGCTATCCATTGAAGATTTACAAAAAGACAGCTTTTATCAAAGGAATGTTCAACAGCGCATTAGAAGTAGCAAAATTTGAAGGGGCCAGAATCAAAACCGTGTCTGGTGTTAGAGGGCAAATTAAAAAAGCCGCTAGTAAACCTGAGGGTTGCTTCAGGGCTACTTTTGAAGATAAAATTTTGCTGAGTGATATCGTGTTTTGTCGTACTTGGTATAAGGTCGATGTGCCTGAATATTACAACCCTGTAACCACCCTTTTATTGCCTCCTGATCAGAAAAATCAATGGAAAGGTGTTAGGACTACTGGAGAAATAAAACGCGATAAAAATCTTAGAAATCCTACAAATGTGGACAGTTTATATACAGTAAGAATCAAAATTATTATTAGTTTTAGTGTAATTTATTAATTTTTTTTTAGCCAATTGCAAGGGAAGAAAAGCCATTTAAGCCCCTTGTAGTTCCTGCAAAACTACAAAAAGCTCTGCCATATAGAGACAAGCCTAATCATGGCGTTAAATCCACAGACAAGAAGAAATCTATTGATAGAGTGGCTGTTATACGAGAACCTCACGAACAAAAGGTTACTAATTGACTTAAAATAATTTGTTTTATTAATTGATTTTTTTTTTTTGTTAGGTTGCAAATATGATTAAGATGATTAAGGCTTCTTATCAGCACAAACAAGCTAAACTTAAAGAAGAAACTAAGCAAAGAATGGAAAAACACAGACAAGAGGTTTCAGCTCAAGAAGCGAGTAAAGATAGGAAAATTAAGCAGAAAAAGAAGGCGGTGTTTAGGAGTAAGAGTAAAGCTCAAATAAGTCAAGAGAAGAAAGGAAACAAATAAATTGTTTTAGTTAAGATTGTTTTATTACAGTTTTATATGATATAACTTTCTGTATAGTGTTTTGGCAATATGGAAAAACTACTATTCTTTCACCCCTAGCATCCTTATTGAAAAAATCTAAACTATCGTATCTACATGAAATATTAAAGGTGTAAGTAATACGAATAATACGCTACCCCTATATATGGGGTCTCCGGAATAACTTGGGGATTTTCAAAACCATTGAAATTAAAAAAAAAAGTAGCGCAATCAATCTGTCATAATTTTTTTCAAATTCGGAATAGCAACGCCAGAAACGGACATACAGGGCAGGTTCGTTATAGGCTTTATTGAGATGATGGCTTTCCGTTACAGAGTCCCAGGTAGTTCAGGGTAATTAGCCAATTATGAGTAAAAATTTCTTAAAACCAAATATAAAGCTAAAAATTGGTAAACGGGTGGCTTTCAGTACAGTAGGTACTTCAAGTTATTCCAGACGCCCTGTACAGGGTCATAGATACGATATATAGTGTAGAATAGAAAATCGACTCGATGAGTAAGATGATATAGTTTAAAATTATTAAAAAAGAGCGACGGGTGGCTTTTAGTAGGTACAGTAGGTACTTCAAGTTATTCCAGACACCCTTTACAGGGTCCAGTGGCGGCTCGTGACTATTTCAAGTGAGGAGGCTAATTACAGTATAGGATTTCATTAAATTCCTCGGAATTCCACTAAGATTTCAATTTCAAAATTCCATTTTTTTTTTAACTTTACTAAAATTAATTTTTATAAAATTCTTTGAAATTTCATTGACATTTCATGTAATTTCTTGAAAATTTCTCGGAATTCACTAAATTCTTATGAGAAAATCCACGTTCATAACTAGGGTTGCCAACCGTCCTGCATTTCGGTGGACATCCACCATTTGGGGTCCATTGTCCAGCGTCCTGTAACAACCTATTGCAGGACGCCTATTGTACTTAATTTTTAACTTAATGAAGAATTCTGTCAAATTAAGTCGGTAAACCTGGTTCTGGTTGATAACGAAAATCATATACATTACTTGAAAATGGAATTTGAATTTATTATTTTTGACTTATACTGAGTTGCAAAACTTCTGGATCATTTTGCAACTTGTATTTTTTATATTTGGGTCCAATGAATAAGTTTTTTCGATGCGTTTAGCTTAGTGTACTGACTCGCGTAATCGATTGTGCATTGAACACATCAAGGCAAATAAAGCTTAATTAAGTACCTATTCTTATACTTGCAAAGAATTTCATGATTTTGTGAGAGGTAACAAGAAGTTAATGGTAGCTGCAAAAAGTGGGAAAAAAGTACCCTGATCTTAACTTTTTATACTCTTTACATAATTTGTTAATCTGCGTACTTTCTTGAAATAACATTTTGAATTATTAGTTCCTATTTACCCAAAGAATTCTTGTTGGAATTTTTTTTTTAGTGTATCAGTATGTTTTTTTTTTTTTTATCGAATTGCTTATTTATTACGAAGAGCGAATTTTGGTTGTGGCGCCATCTAATACTAGGATTCAGCCCGTAGGTACTTCGTATTACTTCTACTTTGCCTACAGGCACTGAACTTGGGTTGGGTTTTTTTGCTTTCCTAACCACACTGATGAGATCTGATAGATCGAAACGCGTCTGTGGATGGAAAGGCGAAGAAAATTAACCCAAAATGTTCACGTTGTTCATTTAAGTTTGTAAATGGTATTTTTCTCTGCAATAATAAAAATGTCCAGAATTTATACCGGATGTCCTGATATTTTAATACCCTCGTCCAGAAAAATTGAAAAACATTGGCAACCCTATTCATAACAAAAAATTTCTCGAAAGTCCAATGAAACTTCAAGGAATTTTCAAAATTTAATTTATTTTCATAAGAATTTTTCGGAATTTCACTGAAATTCTTTTTTAATACCCAGGAATTTCTGGGAATATTAATGAAGTTTCAAGTAATTTCTTAAAAATTCATCGAAATATATTAAAATTTCATGTTATTACCTGTGTTATTATGTGGTAATTTTTCGGAATATCATTGAAATTGCATGTTTTTAGTTGGAAATTCCTCGGCATTACTAAAATTCAGTAAAAACTGAAATTTCATGTTGGGAATTTCGGTGTAATTGTTTAAAATTCCTCCATGTAATTAATTTAGGATTTCGTGTAATTTGATCGGAATTTCACTGAAATTTCAAGTAATTCGAGAGGATTAAAATTTATTGTGAATTCTATGGAAACTCCGCAAAAAATTTCACATCTAATTCCTTTTTCAGAATAACATAATTATTCTACCGAAATTCCACTAAATTATATGGAATTCTGAGATTTTAATAGATTTTTGGGGATTCCAAAAGATATTTGGGAATTTTAAAGGAAATATTTTTCAGAAATGTCGATTGGGTTTAAAATAACCTATAAATCGAGATTTGATAAAAACATATGGCAACGCTGCTCATGATACAACAAACGTCAAAAAATTGAAATATCAAAGTAGGCCTTGGTTTTTTTTGACAGTCGATATACAATGGCGTCTTTTCGTTTCAAAGATTACGATCCGAAGAGCCGAAGTATTAAAATCAGTTGACAATGAACGGGTTCGTATAATTCCGGCCTTATGATTAAAATAACGTCGGGCTCGTATAACTCCGGCCCTTCAGGTTCGCATGATTCCGGCCCTTCGGACTCGTATAACCTCGGCCCTTTGAGCTCATAATTGAGATAACTTCAGCCTTCCAGAATCGAGATTCGAAAAAAAACATATGGCAACACTGCTTATAATACAACAAACGTCAAAAAATTGGCCCTGTTTGGCTACTTTTTACGTATTCGTCAAGGCTAAATCTATATGCCCATGTTGTTTTTTTTTTAAATTTTGACAACTGTCAATGTCAATTTTTTTTACCTTTTCTATTTTTCAAAAAACAAATGTCAGAAAACCATCCCCAGGCTCCGAAAACCCTAAAATAAGAAGTTTCATCGATATACGTCAAAAACCAACCGCCTGGCAACGCCGAACGTCTTTTTTGACATATTATGTTAAAAAAGAAAAAATTGGTACTTCCTACGTATTCGCCGCGGCTAAATCTATGTGCCCATTAAAATTTTGACAGCTGTCAATCTCAAAAAAAAAATTCTTTTGTTTCTTCCAAAAAACAAAGGTGGTTTTTTAGTGGGTTTTAGGGTGAGATTTATGTAACAACATGTAGCAACAGTTGGTACAAAAAATTCAATTTTCCTTCGGGTTTGGAATTCGAATTTTTGAATTTTCCCGGCTCCTGATTGGTTTGGGGATTCGAATTTTGTTTATTCCCGGCTCTTGATTGGCTTTAAAATAATCTATAATCTCGGCACTTCGAGCTCGGGATTTGAAAGAGAAACATATGGCAACACTGCTCATGATACAACAAACGTCAAAAAATTGAAATTTCTAACCTTGGGTTTTTTTGACAATCGATACAAAATGACGTCTTTTTGTTTCAAAGATTACGGCCCGAAGGGCCGGAGTATGAAAAATCAGTTAACAATGAACGGGTTCGTTCGGATAAAACTTTTGTCGCACGACACTTTGGCAATATCGACAAATGTCACCTGTCAAATTTGACACATGTTAGACTTTTTCCCCGCTCTACTATAAAAGCTACGAAAATCAAACCCCGGTACAAGGCAGTTTCGCGACGCTAACTATCGATTTGTGTCAAAAAAAATTGACAGCTGTCAACGTCAAAAAAGTTTTATTTTTATTTTGCGAATTTCGAGAAAAAAGAGTAATTGAAAACGATCCCTGGACCCCAAAAACCTTAAATAAAAATTCCAAAAAAAAAACCAACAAGAATGACATTCCAAAACCTACTTGATAAAACTAAAGTTTTTCTCACTTACCCCGTTTAAACACTGGAAATTTTTGGTAGAAAATGAAGAAAACTCAAAGCCTCGTACTTTAAATAGGTTTTTCCGACCAGAAAAGCCCTGGAAAAGCGGACAAATTCAAAGAAAAACTTCTAAAAATGACATTCCAAAGCCTACTTAATGAAATTTAAGTTTTTGTCATTTACTCCATCGGAAAACTGGGAATTTTTAGCACAAAACGTAGGAAATTCAAAGCCTCATATTTCAAATCGGTTTTCTTGACGAGAAGGGCTTGGAAAAGCGGAAAATTCGAGGAAAAACTGGATAGAAATGTAAACACGTCAATTAAAAATTGCCGACTGTCAAAACTGGCAAATGACATTTATTACAAAACCTATTTTGAAGTTGGTACAAACGGTGTTGCCACCACAAAACTTCCAAAAAAACCATTTTAAATGGGATTTTGTTATTTATGTCATTTTAAAACTGGACATTTTTGCTGGAAAATGAAAAAAACTCAATACACAGTTAAATTGCCTTTTTCCATTGAAAAGCCCCGGAAAAGTGAGAAATTCGAGGAAAAACTGGCAAAAAATTAAAAGGCGTCACTTCAAAATGGCCAACTAAAAGCAACGTTGCTACATGTCATTTCGGAAAACAAAAATAACATTTTAAAAGGGTTTAGTGTTTAAAATTCAATTTAATAATTAATTATTAATGATTATAATAATTAAAATTCCCCAAATAAATCATAGGAAACTTGTTTTTAGTTTAATTTCAATGAAAATGACATTACAAGGTTTTCTTATTGATTATAGTGAGTAAGACAAAGACAAGATAAAGTAGTATGTGTTTGCAAAAACCACCGTTTTCTGAAAAAAGTAAAAATCTTGAGAAAACCAACATTCCAAAGCCAATTTGATAAAACTAAAGTTTTTGAATATTCCCTATTCTTTGATCGGACGCTAAAAATCGAATTTTAAATACTTCCGGTTTTTAATTAGCTCTAAATTATCCGATGACCAATAGAATTATAAACTAGGCCCCGTGATTAAAATAACTCTAGCCCTTCGGGCTCGCGTATAACTCCGGCCCTTCGGGCTCGCGTATAACTCCGGCCCTTCGGGCTCGCGTATAACTCCGGCCCTTCGGGCTCGCGTATAACTCCGGCCCTTCGGGCTCGCGTATAACTCCGGCCCTTCGGGCTCGCGTATAACTGTGGCCCTTCGGGCTCGTATTACTCCGGCCCTTGGGGCCGGTATTACTGTATCCCAGATTCACAGATATTTGTCGTGGAGGCGTGGGATTGATTGAAATAAATGTTGTCAGATTTTTCTAAATTACATTGAAATATCGAAAATTGGAAAGTGTAATTTGTTAATTATTATTTTAATTAGAAATCAGGAATAAGAAATTGAGATTGAATTTTCAATTTTTTGGGAGAGGTTTAGCCTCCCCTGCCTCCTCTGACGAGCCGCCACTGACAGGGTCATAGATACAATATATAGTGTAGACTAATAGAAAATCGACTTGATGAGTAAGATAATAGTTTAAAATTATTAAAAAAGAGCGACCTGAAACCCTCCCAAAATGACTATCATTCCTAAAATTTTCTAGATGTTAAAACTCAAACATTCGAAATTCAAATTTAAAAAGTATTAATGTGTAACACAATCTTCGAGATAAGAAATTAAAATTACTCATAAAATGCCAACTCAAGCAAAAGCTCGTATGTCCAGTGTGAATAACGTTCATATTTCAAAGGGAAACCCAAATAAACATTTCAGCATATTTTTAATCTGTGTTTTTCAACCAACGCATAGTGTGTATCGGTTTGCGAGTGCCAGTAGGTATAGCCACGCTTTTTTATTAAATAAAACGGGAAGTTTGTTTGTGAATTATTGTAAAGTTGGTTTTTCGTTTATCTGTAAGTATTTCTTCAAAATTTGATTCCTAACTTGGGGGATGATTCCCAAGATTTATTTTGTTCGTGTTTTGCAAACATTTCGATTTTAATTTATTTTTAGAGATGCTGACCGTTCTGGTATAATTTATTCGAAGTCAATCCGAATAGCATGTAAAAACCATATAGGCAACATCTTATTCTCTATGAAAATAAGCATATGCGTGCATCCTCAGCTTAGGCATTCCTAAGAACTAAGAATTCTAATTCCTTCTATTTCCATAAGCTAGCCACTGCACTGCACTGATAAAAATTTATCATAAAATGAAAACGCACGTGTCTACAGTGCACCAGAACTATTTTAGATTTTATTTTATTTTTGTGTGGGCCAAATACTATTTGACCGACTGCAAGCGGCAGTCTAGGGGGTTGGGTTAATGGGTTTTTATTTACAAGATGCAGAAAATTCATGTGGGCATATAGGGGGTCTAGTCTAGCTAGAGTCGTCTAGTCATCATATTATTGGATAATTTTGATCGGTTTATTTTAGTAAATTAAGCAAATCCGGTAAATAGTAAGTAACTCTTTTTATTTAGCTAATGGGATTGACTTCGTGTAAACTTTTATCAAAATCTCCTCCTGAAAGGCTCTTTTCAAAATTCAATCTTGGGAAATAATAACAAATTTAGTTAATGTAGATATACCATACTTGTCATCTAAAATAAATACATGTTTAATTTCAGAATATTTAAACATGGAAAATAAAGAATTTCCACCAGCTTACTCTGACGAGCCCCCAATACCACTAGCTTCTGGAATTCAAAATGTTTACGCCTCACCTTCTTCGCCAACATTTGAACCACCATGTAAGTTTTTTGAACACATTTCTTATAACTATATATCATTATTTAATTTTTGCAGACATGTCAGCCCCTCAACAGCCGCAACAACAGCAACCCCAACCCCGTAAGTTTACTTTATTATCATATCTCACTAAAATAATTAATATTTAAATTTTTCAGAAGTTACTAGGGTAACTGTTGTGCCAGGAGGTGAAAATTTCATTCCGGGTTCTTGTCCAGTTTGTAGGAACACATCCTGGACTGGAACTTATTCATGTTTCGCTTGGTTCCTGTGCCTTTTCTGTTTTTGGAATTTCGGGCTTTGCTGCTGCTTGTGCATGAGAAAGAAAAAGTGCACCCAGTGTGGATTCGCCCTTAATTAATTTGAGTTTTATATTCTTGGTAATTTTACCAATAATGATTTTTGAAGAAGTATTAGTTTTGTTAAGTCTATAATTTAGGTTTAGTTTTTTTACGTTAAGCATAAAATTATTTTGAGAAAAGTCCTAAACATTTTGGAATTAAATTTTTTTCATGTTAAAGTAATGGTGATAAAAAATAACAATGGAACATGAAATATTATTAGTATTGGACGTTTATTTGCTTATTTTCAATTAAGTTTCTACACTGCTCTGTTATTAAAAGTGCCATTTGTTAGTTACTTATCGTTTTATGTTTCTATGTTTATATAATTACTTTTTTTTCAATAAATATTATACAAGTAATATTTTATAATTTATGTGGCATCACACACGCAAAACCACAATAATATCCTTTTGCTAATTCCACACTTGTCAAATTTATTTACAATGGTGTAAAAATCTATAACCACATTGATCTAAAGCTCAGAAATTTGCAGGACTAGGGACTATTTTGTAAAACGTTAAAGAGGGAGCTCATTTAGCAGGCTTATTGCTCTGTTGAAGGAGTTCTTCAAATGTCTAAATGCATGTAGGTATGTCCTAATTTGTTGTAGATGTTTGTTGCCTATTATAGTTTAATAGTTAAGTACCGGAAGTTGGTGAGAACTTATAGAAGGAAATTTTTTGTGTAGGTAAGTATTTAGTTTTTGGACAATAAAAGTACAGGTACTTTCAATGAATTCAATCATCTGTGGTATGTAGATTGTAGATTGTGGGGGAGTCGTTTCTGCTTTTCAGCCGCTCAGCACTGTATATATCTTTGCAGATATTTTGTATGTGACTCTACATCTTAAGTTGTCTCCAGGTAACGTAGACTTCTGGCGAAGGAAGTTATTTTCCTGGGTGTCAGTTGGCCCACTTCTTCTGATGATAGTGTTGCCCCCTCGAGGAATTTGAGCCTCCTGCAGAATTGGACTGGACGTTCGCAGAGTAGGTCTCTATTGTGTCTGAGCAGAATCTGCAGAGATCGTCTTCTGCTCTGCCCATTAACCTTAAGTAGTATTTTACCAGGCAGTGTCCTGTGAGCAGTCCTACCACCAATCTGGTGTCTCATCTGCTCATGTTTAGGAGCTGTTCAGCTCTTTTTGCTGAAAGGATATTAAACCTTTCCGACTGTCTGAGTCCCAGAGTGTGCCTCCAATAAGTCCAATATGATGACAGTTAGTCTTTTTCCCATTTGTTGAGTTCTTCTATGATGTGGTTTTTCATTAAGCCACAGTAGGGCTCTGGTCCATGGTATGGTGTTGAGGTCCCTTCTTTTGCGAAGCCATCTGCTTCTTCGTTTCCTTCTATTAGAGGTGGGCCAACCTGCGATTTTACTGGAAGCTGTGACAAGACGTGACTGCTCCAGTCGTGTCACGGTGATAAATAGCAGTGATTTTTTGGAACAGTTTAACCTTGATTGACCATATAAATGCTACATTACATAATTGCCACCCAGTTCGCAGTCACAGCCGAGAGAGGTGTTCCGGTTTGTCCTCTGCAGTAGCAGTTTCTGTTCATTATTTGCATCACTTTGACTTGAGTTGAGTTTAGTCCGCGCTGCATCTGCATCGGTGAAGCAGTGACAAAATCACAGTTCGTGAAATCGCAACCCACCTCTAAAACTGAGTACTTGAAGTGCATCCTACTTTTTCTTTGTTTCACTCATTAGGTAGGCCATGTAATGTAATGTCTTTTGCCACTTTTGACAGCCTAGTGTTTTTATCCAGCTTTTCCTTGAATTTTCCGGTTTTTCAGGGAATTTTTAATGAAAAAAAATTGTTTAAACTACGAGGCTTTGAGTTTCCTTCATTTTCTGACAAAAATTTCCAGTTTTCCAACGAGATTAGTGTCCAGAACCTTGGTTTGATCAAGTAGGCTTTAGAATGTTGGTTTTCCATTGAATTTTCCACTTTTCCAAGGCTTCTTAAATCGGAAAAAGACTGTTTTGAGTGCAGGGTTTTATATTTGCTTCAATTTTTCACCATAAACTTCCATTTTTAGACTAAAATAATATCCTACTTTATCTCTCATCTCTTTTTCATACTCATTACCAAATTATTGATCGGCCATTTTGAAGTGTCGTGTTTACATTTTTATCCCAGGTTTTCCACTTTTTCAGTATTTTTTCAGTCGAAAAAACTGGTTTAAAGTACGAGGCTTCGAGTTTTCTCCATATTCTGCTAGAAATTTCCAATTGTAGATTCATTTATTTACGGTCAAAAGGTACCTAAGTGAAAAAAATTATTGAAAAGCAAGTTTTTGAGGACTTATTTAAGGAATTTCTAATTTTAAAATCGTTAATAATTAATTATTTAACGGGTTTTTAATTATTAAATTACAAGTAGAATCCAATTTTAAATGATTTTTTTGAAAGTTTTGTGATGTGGCAACATTGCTTGTAGCCAACTTCAAGTAGACCTTGTAATAAATGTCATTTGCCATTTTTGACATTCGACCATTTTCAATGAACGAGTTTACATTTTTGTCTAGTTTTTCCTCAAATTTTCCGCTTTTCCAGGCCGTTTTCAATCGGAAAAACCGTTTTAAAATTCGAGGCTTTGAGTTTTCTCCATTTTCCACCAAAAATTTCCAGTTTTCCAATGGAATAAGTGACAAAAACTTTGATTTTTTAAGTAGGCTTTGGAATGTTGGTTTTCCATTTAATTTTCTACTTTTCCAGGGATTTTTCAATTAGAAAAAAATTATTTTAAAGGCGCGGGGCTTTGAATTTGCTTTATTTTTCCACCAAAAACTTCGATTTTTAGACTGTAGATTGTTTCCTACTTCATCTCCTTCTTTGTCTTTCTTACTATTAAGCAGGCCTTGGAATGTTATTTTTATTGAAATTTATTAAAAATAAGATTCCAATGAATTATTTTCGAAATTTATCATTTCAAAAACATTATGAATTAATTATTTAAACAAAAAATTATTTTAAATGATGTAATTTTTTCCTATTTGAAATAATTGAAATGTCACAACGTGGCACAATGTCATTTCCCAGTTTTGACAGTCGGTCATTTTTGAATGTTTTTATCTAGTTTTTCCTCAAATTTTCCACTTTTCCAGGCCGTTTCCAATTGGAAAAACCGATTGAGAAGACGATGCTTTGAATTTCCTTCATTTTTTGCTAAAAATTTCCAGTATTCCAATGGGGGTAAGTGATAAAAACTCAAGTTTTATTAAGTAGACTCTGGATTGTCATTTTTACGGGATTTTCTTCGGATTTCCCGCTTTTCCAGTGCTTTTCCGATCGAGAAAACCGATTTTAAGTACGAGGCTTTAAGTATTTTCTTCATTTTCATCAAATAATTTCTAATTTTAAATACTAAAACTAGGGGTAGATAAGGTTTTTCTGCCTCTTTTAAAAAAAAGTGAGCACTTGAATTACATCCTACTTTATCTCTTTCCTTGTCCTACTCAGAGGGTTTTAGAGCTACTTTTCACATAAAAAACACTAAATTTAGCTGAAAAAACGGGGCTTCGAATAAAAAAAAGGAAGCTCTCAAAACAAAAAACAAACAAACGCCATTTTGAATTAATTGTCAAAAATTACAAGGCCTACTTTGACTTTGACATGTTAAATTTTTTGACGTTTGCGTCAGGGTTGCTGCAACTTTTGTGCCAGGGTTGCTACATTTTTTCGTCCCTGTAGGCCGATTTTTCAATATCGAGTCACCTCCGAGTTGGTTTTAACTAGAGGTGGGTAAACCTGCGATTTTACTGGAACTGTAACAAAAGGTGACTGCTCCAATCGAGTTACGGTAACAAATAACAGTGACTTGACTGGCCGTGCTGGTAATACATATAAATGGTACATTACATAATCACAGTTCGCCCAGTTTACATTCACGGCCGAGAGAAATGTTCCAGTCTGCCCTCCGCAGTAGCAGTTTCTGTTTTGCGTCACCGCAATGTGATTTATAATAATATTTCATTATTTGCATCACTTCAAGTTGAGTTTAGTCCGAGCTTTATCGGTTAGAGATCGAAGTGGCCGTGACAAAATGTTACTGCTACTTGAGTGGGACTGGAGCAAGCCGTGACTGTGACAGACGAGTAGCAGTGACAAAGTCACAGTTGGTGAAATCGCAACTCACCTCTACCTTCCATGCCTCGATGACCAGGCAGCCACATCAACGTTACCTGGTTGTGTGTCGCTAGTGTTTTTAGGGTCTGTTTACACTCCCAGACTAGTTTTGACGTGCATTTGAAAGCCCTTAAGGGCCAAATTATGGACTGACCGGTAAACGTCTGGTTGTTACCTAGCAGGTACTTTCTATGCACTAGAGCACCACTTACCAGTTGGTCCATAATTTGGCCCGTAGGCTTTTAAGGCAGCTTGGCTGTCCGATATGAAGATGTGTTTTTTTGTTAGGCTTTGGTTAAGACACTCCTTTGCACATATATGTTTATCCAATGCCTTGGAGAGCTTGAAGTTACGGTCAAAATGCCCAGTCTAGCTCCTTTCATCCATTAGCTTGGATCCATCTGTGTACCACAGAGATGCATTGTCTGCTTGTGGTAATTCTTTATTCTCCCATGATTGGCAGTCGTTTATTACCACTGCGAATGGAATCTCTAAGTCGAGTCTGACCATCATATGCTCACTTTGTTTGCTTGTATTCTCCAGTTTTATTAAATCAAGGATGCGCAGATGTTCCCTCATCAGATCACCAGGCTTGAACTTGTCTGTTTGGAATAGCCTGTGAGCGCTGGTTATTGCCTCATCTTTCACACATAGGTGAAGTGGAGGCATGTTGAGTAACGTCTCTAGGGCTGTGGTGGGGCAAAGACATATCAGCCTTTGTACCTTTTTTAGCTTGATCTGAGCGGTAAATCCAGAATACCAAATTTGGCTTTAGCCCCCATGTTTTATCAACAAGTTTTCGGCATGACCAGATAGCTCGAGAGCGTGTTTTCTGTAACTATTTCGTTGGAAAATGTTAGTTGTGTACCGTTAAGGGTGGGGGATTTCAAATTTAGCTTCCTTCTTTTTGTGAACGGGACAAGGATTGTTTTGTTTGCGTTTAGGGATAATCCCTCGCCTTCGCTCCAATTTTTAACGATATTTAGGGCACTTTGCATTCGCCTTCATGTTTGCCCTTGATTACAATGGCTAGGTCATCTGTGTAGCCTATGACCTGGTATCCCAGCACTACTCAGTCTGGTAAGAATTTTGTCTACCACCAGTGTCCATAGTAGTGGAGAAAGAACACCCTCTGACCGTGGTAGCGGTAGCT